TTTTTTAAAAAGTCCTGATGATGAACAGTCGTTCGAAAACGTTAGAATAAAACTTGTTCAAACAACCTTCACGTCAGTAGGTTCTATCTTTTATGTTGTAAATTTTATCATTTTATCATATAAGCGTTTTATTACAGAAACCCCTACGTTGTCCATACCAGTTTAATTCTTGTTTTCTTCTCGATATTGTACCCAATTCCCTTCATCAACAAACGCCTGCTGTTTTATTTTACTCGCTTTCATAACTTGACATACAACCTATCGATATTTATCGATAAAAATGCAATTATCGCCCATTATTCAGTCGTGTTATTGTTTTCACGGTAAGGGTCAAGACAATGGTCATCTCCCGATAAGTGGTGGTTTTGCTAAGAATAGATTCCTGGGTTTAGTTAGAGCATTAACGTTGACAGGGTCGACATGCCACGACAAACACGAGAATGGTTTAAAAATAAACTCTTGTCGTCTTGTGCGCAAGCGCGGCGTATGGACCCACACGCATGCGCAGTCGTTGTCCTTTTTGATTATTATGACGTCATGTAGTATTGTCAAGGAGCATCATGGGATTGATATAAGTATTAAAATGGCGGATGTCTTATAAAAACAGCGAAGGACGAAGTTTCTGTGCGAAACAGACATTTAAGAGTCGAGAATGCTTTAAAGGAGCATTAGATAAAGTGGCTGCACACAAGAATATACGAAAATACCAGTTAAATCAATACAAAATGCTTGTTGTTCGCAAAACATGGCACTCAAAACTGATAACTTCAGTTGCTACTTTGTCAATCCCATAATGCATCGCGCCGAAAATCGCATGACGTCATAGGAAATGGCACTTTTGATAGTTAATGAGCCACTTCGACGGTGCAGCGGCCATTTTGCCAGGGAACATAGCAGAAAAATGTTTAAAGTGGATTTTGGTGTTAATCAACATTTAATTCACCACAAACCAGTTTGTTAAGAGAGAAATTAATAAGATGTACATGAAATTATCGACAAGCACTCGAAACGTTTTTATAATTCAACATTTTCGCTTTACTTTGATCCTGAACGTCCTTAATTCAATATGACTTAAGATCCTACAAATATATCAGATCTATATACAGTGTATTGCTTCATTTTTTAACAAATTTTCTTATAAATTGTGTGATAACAAAGCCTTTACAGTAAAAAACTTTATATATATACCACCCACCAAAATGGCCGCCATATTGTCGAAGTAGTCCACTGGGTTTTTTATAACTTTCAATTATAAAAAGCTGGTCTCCGTTCATCTTTTAACAAATTTTCTTATAAATTGTGTGATAACCAAGGATTTCACAGGAAAAAAAAATTATATATTTACCGCCCACCAAAATGTACGTCATAACATCGAAGTAGTCTATTGAGAAGTGCTATACCTCTCAATTATAAAAAGCTGGTGTCCAAATGGCCGTATTAAATAACCAAGAAGACACCGCCGGTCAAAATGGATCGCTTAATTATTTGKTGTCTAAATTTAGAATTCTAAACTTTTGATAACCAAAAACCACATGTAGAGAATACAATTTTACAGTTGGTAATAAASCATCTCGCTCACCGGGTAAAATTRTTTTTAGGGATGTAAATTGCGATTTGTTTTGAAGTCATGTTGAGCTGAACTGTTAAYATTGTTCAATGCGAAATGAAAAGTTATTTTTTTTGTTCTATTTTTATTTTGATATTCTCTTTTTAGTTCTCTTCTTTTCGACTTCTTCGTATATCMTTATTTAACGAACTATTTCTATGATAATTACTTTTTTGCCTTTAAATAATGAGATTGTTAAATCTTTCTATTCATGTGCTAACGACATGTTATAAGCATCAGAACTTGGCTAATTATAGTGCAACTTAGCCTACAAATGTAGGCTTACATTACCCGCAAAGTTGTAAAAAAAACCTTCTTTAAATTTCAATAAAAAAGTCCATAATAATAATAATAACAAAAATAATAATAATAAAATAATAATAACAATATAATAATAATACTAATGCTAATACTAAGCTAGTTTTGTTAACAAAGATGCTTGTTAGTATTGATAATAATAATAATGATATTCAAATATTCAATATTATTTCAAAAAACTAACGTTGACTTAAAATGAGATTTGAAAATTTCTTAAGTTGCTTTTCAAAATAAAATTTCAATATTTTTTTCAAAGCATTATTTCAAAAAAACTAACGTTGAATTAAAAACAAAATAGAAATGTTTATAAAGATATATAATCATTGTTACCATTTTAATATTCCTAATAAGTAGGACTCTTTGAATAAATTTACTTGATAATGTTGATGTTTTTAGGTGCCGAAAGTAACAACTTTTCGAAAGAAAGAAATATAAGTATTTCATAGATAATTATATGATAAAAATATTATTAATGTGGTTTATAGATATTATTAGTATATCATTAGTTTCTATCATTAATACACCATAAATAAAAAGCTATCATTATCACCAGTCGTATGACTTAAACCATGTCTACATTCGCAATTTTTTATGTTGTAATTTTTATTTGCTTGCGTTGATGAGCACAATTGACCAATTTTTAATATGCAGACTGTATTTATTGGAAAATTTATGGCATGCGAGTTTTTATGCGTCAAATAAAGATTGGTCAATTTTGCTCATTTACGCGCTCAAATAAAAATTGCCACATGAAAAAGTGCTCGAGTAGACGCTACTTCAACCCGCAATTTGCAGGCGACAAGGCCTGGATATACTTAAAATATTCGACTTCGAAGGCGCCATTGCGRTGTTAAAACCATGAAAGTATCTCAATAGAAATCGAGCCGCTCGAGTCGCATTATTTCTTGTTTTGATTGCACATTTTAATCCATAGCACACTCACACTTACATTCTATTACCAGATTTAAGAGCTGTACTTCATTACCTCCAATCGCTAGTGCGATATTTAGCAGAGCTTAGGCTGTATTCTGAAGCCAAAATGCAATTTAGGTATGAAATGGAGACAGACAGTGCAAAAAAAGCCGACAGACTGATGGAAAACTTAACAATAAAAGATAAAATTAACAATTTAAACTAACTCATTACTCCAGATTAAATATATAATGTGTTTTGGRGACAGWAGATGCGGCGTCTTCTTTAGACAGTCGGTTGTTTTTAAGTAAAAAGATTGCTAACTGAGCGATCATGGTTGGGCTATTATGAAGTATAAGATTGAATAGCAATCGTGTCCTTGCAATCTTGGCTCGCGATCTTAAAACACAGCATATTTGATAAATAGAGGAAGCGAATGAGCCGCGATTTTCGATATTCTTTGGATTGGATATACTTTCGCGAAAAACAGATCCATAACGAATATTTTCATTTGTTAAGTTTGTTTATAATTTGAATTTTAAAAACGTATATTAATTCACGTGTTAACTCCTTMTTCTACTTTTCCTTATTATATTCTTAATTCCCATTTATTCAACCATGTATCGATTCTCATTCCCCCATTCACTTTCCATTTTTTTCTTGGAAAATTGCAAAAAAAACTGCTCATGGTGATTTTTTTTATTATTGATAATTTAGATCTGTACACTCACTTTAGCCCGTGGCATTTCTCCTATTAACATTCCCAAATATCTCATTTCTATACAATTAAAAAACATACTAAGCTTATTCAGGCGTTAAGCTTTTAAATTATTTTTTTAAATAAAGTATTTCTTTTTGAAATACCTGGGCTCCCCAGGTTCTTTGAAACTCGCATTTTTCATTTCGTTGAAATTTATACTAATTTCAGAATCATATTTTAAATGGATTCATTGCAGATGTGATAGTTTCTTMTTATTACCCAAATTATGTTGTGTTTGTTAATTTTCTCTTGTTATAACTTTCAATGTCTTATCCATCCTTGAAGATAAAGTATTTCAGATATTTCCTCCTTTTCTTTTCCATTCACATTTTAAATTTGTTTGTGCATCTGTGAGGTGCTTCAGCTCTTTTCCTTTTYCTTTCAAAATTCGTAGCGTATTTACGTATTTGAACGTTATAATCTGTACGGCGTAGACGAACCGTTCGTTATAAGCCCTGCGGTTGTAGAAAAAGCTACTTTTTCCGAAACGTCAAGTGGGGCTTTACGTCTAAACGTCAAAAGAATTTTAAAAGCTTTTCGGAATTCCATATTCCCCCAAGTATACACTATAGGGTTAATAGACGAAGACGTCGTTGCTATCAAACTAAAAATTCGTATTAAATCCATAACTACTTGGTTGTTTATAAATTGCTGTAGCACAAGTCCAGTGAATATCGGGACAAAACATAATGTAAATACACCGACCACAAGACCTAGAGTTTTGACGGCTTTCAGCTCAATATTTCTCCGTCTGCGAGTCGAAATACGCTTGAAGGAGTTCGCTTCGCGTTTGACTCTTTTTCTTTGCTCTAAGGACACCTTAAATATGTAACCATAGCTGAATACGATAATAGTGAATGGAAGATAAAAGAAAAACGAAATTACGAATATAGGATATGGTTTTCGCACGTTAAAGTTACTGCCRWCGTGATTGGGATCCGAGCAAACGTGGAAGTCTTCACGGAATTCAGCAAAACCCTCCATTTCTCTCCCTTGTATGTGAGGAATTACCAGTGTACCAATGATTCCTATAATCCAAGTGAAAATCAGAATTATAATAGCGCGAGATTTGGTAATAATCGAAGGATATCTCAAGGGATATTTGATRGCCAGTAGTCTCTCYGTCGAGATCAGACACAAATGAAGCAAAATGAGACAAGTGTCGGAGAAAGCCAGTTCCGATGTAGCATGACAAGCCGTAGCGTAGTGCTTTCCCAAAGCTAAAATTACCACTCTGTTTAGAAAGACAATCCCCATAACAATGTCCAAAGCTGCTAGACTTGAGAGTATAAAATTTGACGGCGTTCGAAGCGCTCGGAATTTATAAACCGCAGCGCAAATAAGAGCGTTTCCAGAGAYAGTTGTTCCCATGAGGAAGACGTGGATTGCGATGAGGAATGCAACGACCCCCTCGGAATATTTCCTCGATGTATTCACGTCTGTGTGGTTTTCCGTCCATGAACTGTTTTGGAGCATTTTGAATTCAAAAACAAACTCCAGGAGTAAGGGATCGTTCTGCTAGAAATCCAGATTTTGTTCTATTTTTATAATCGGGCCAAAATGAAAAGATAATCCAGCCCAAGGGCCATACGCTATGGGTCAGATCGTATCTTGAATCATTCGCGAAAAACCTCCGCTCTTTTCACGCGAGATCCTTCTCGTTTTATAACGATAACAGCAATGCGTCGGCCAATGGCATTCGCTTTGTTCCTCTCTCGGAGATAAGTTCAACTAGATTTTAAAGATAGCTTGGATATTCGCTGAATCAAGCACACGGTGTAGGAATTTCAAACTTCGAAGCAATGTGATGTTCTCCGGTGCTCTGATGATGTAGTATATAATCAAGTGCCATTCAAGACAGTGGCTCCTATTCGTCTATATGCTTTAAATGTCAGTATTATTTACCATCATTTCTCAAACTTTAATGACGGAGACGATAAGCTTATTTTAGACGTTCGAGATTGTGTTCGTCATTACAATCCAGCTGAATGGCTGACAGGACATTAAAATGCGAAAACTACTAAATGTCACTCCTTATTCATTTAAATTACRCGAAGAAACCCGAGGCTTTTCAAGAACTACTCTACATAAATACGTTGTTCATTACAAAAGGCTGACACATTGTATGATTGTAGTAGGACGCAAAGTTATCCGGGTATTTTAAAAGAATAACTTATTTTCGTGACACGTTTTTTCAATTTTCTTTCAAGCCAATTTATTCAATTAAGGGAGTTTCACCAATCGCTAACAACTAGCAATCCGAGGTGGTAGTACAATTAAATGACCTTGATGTAGCTGCCATAYGAAAAACAGGTGAACTTATAATTTTTCATTATTTAAAAACTAAAAATAACAAATATGCTCAAATGGAGAACTTCAAAGAAAGATGTATCTTAATTTTGCACGTAAACTTCAATTAAACATGTGTTGTTTTTTTAGATTTGCGGGGGATATTTTTTCTTAGCTAGGAATCAATATATTCTAACGGTATGACTTGGAATTAACGACTTTTTCGTATTTGAGTCATGTTTATTTTATATATYTTGCGGGRAGCTTTTTGGTAAATATATCGATCAAATTTTCTCCAAATTGGTATTACTATTGCAAAATTCATTCCGTCAAAGTATCGTTCTGTTTTGACGAGCTTTGTGTTTATACTCTCCGTCTATTTTTATGTTTTAGTGGTTTGTCTTGAGGTTATATTTTATCACATTCTGTCCATGAATTTAGCATCATTTTCAAAGCATTTCTTTCACTATTTTCAGACTTCTTTTACTTACAAAACTTCAATGTTTCTTTTTTTAGATTTATTAGTGTTATAAAAATGATGAAGCTGCCTTGAGATGAACTCTTTTGGCGATAGATGATGATTTTCATTGGGCGAATTGAAAGAGATATTAATTCAAAAGATGAAAATATTCAATATTAATTCAAAAGATGAAAAACATCAAAATACTTCGCTCTGTTGGACAAAACACTATCTATCTTGGACAGAGATAGCGGGGCTCCTTGCAACTAAACAATTTGAAAATACTTAGAACCAAAACAAATAAGCTTAAAATCTATTTTCAAAGAAACAAAGACCGCTCATCGGGGCGGCGTTCTTAATGCTTCGAGGCATTAAAATAATACCGAGGGGAATGYCAACTTTTTCCGAGAGCTGACGCAAATGAAAGCAAAGTCGAATCAAATGGGGCTCTTTCATCGATATGAAATTATAAAAAGGCCATCAAGAATTGTCTCGGTGAAGTGAATCGGTCGATAAATATCGTAGATAACATGATGTTGAGTATAAAGCCTTATATTAATACGTAGACAAAATTTCAAACGTGGATGGATGGCCCGCAGGGAAAATCAGGCATTTCCGATGGACGCGCCATTGAATTTGATTGCGGTCGACAAATGATGGCTTAGCTGGCGATTACGATTCGTAAAAAACAGAAATTATAAATAATAAAGTGAAGAATAACTCTCCATCTATCAAGGCGAATATTTATGACGATGAACTAAAATCCATGTTTTGAATATACCAAAATGAATGACTCGTTTTTGTGTCAAGCGAAGATGAAAACTTTGAAACTTTGGAAAATTGGACAAGTTTCAATAATCGTTGGCTTACGTGAGTAATATCTTTTTTGTCTGAATCTCATTTTCCGAACTAAATGCAAATTATCTCAACCTTTGTTTCTTATCGCCATTGAAGTGACCACACGTTAGATACGACGTTTTATGTGTTAGTTGTGACCGGTTTTCATCTTTTCTTTTATGTATTTGACCGTTATCAATCTTTTGTTTCAATTTTATTACTTAACAATTGACATGGTGTTGTAATATGAAATACAGTTTAAAAATYTTAAGTTTTAAGATTAAAATCTTACAAAAGATGTAGAACTAAACTCACTGGGAAATGTTTTTTCCCTTCCTTTTATTCAATTATCCATCCGGCTCATTCATATTGAAATATTTTCCTCRGTAATGTACATAAATCTGTTAACATCATAAAATCACAATAATGAACGAAGATTTGGGAAAAAGGGCTTTTTCTATGTGAGAACTTAGAACAATAACGTCACGGCGGAACCAACAATGTTTTAAGARCAACCATCAAGTCCTTTTCATGTGGGATGCTGTAGTATCTTATGTAATGCACTCGCCGCGGCCACGTGCGTCTGTTCTCGAAGCCAATATTGTAAATCATCATTGATGGTATATTTTAGAAGTTATTAACGAAAGAATT